CAAAGTGGGCGAAAACGCCCCATGTGGGTGTTTGCGATGACTTGGGGGGCTCGGATGGCGATTTAGTCAATTGAGGGGCGTTGGCTGTCCAACTGGCCAACTGGGCGATTAGGAGGCGCTGACATCAATACGGGAACTTACAAGAAGTGTGATACTTTATGCCATACTCCTATGTTTTGTCTTATGTTCAAACTAGTTTGCTTGTGATTTCGGTGTCGGAAATTTCTCGCTTAACGTAGAATAGGTAATATGGCTTGTTAAATCCGTATTGTTTCTTAATAATACATAGCGCATACGGCATGCGCTTCCTTCACCATGCACTGCACGTTTCGTTGTACTGATTCGAATAACGGCTTCATTTTACTATCGTGTTCTATGGTGATTTGAAGCGGTAGTGTGAGTACAACACTCTTGTGTTATAATTTTTGTTAGGAGAAAAACGGGAGAGCTGGGCATCTGATTGAACTAAAGTACGCCAGATAGGACCATCTCCATGTTGCGACTTAACTGGTTCATTTTAATTTCTCGGGTCATTGAATAATAAGTCTGCATAAGTAATACATATATCAAATACATATCAAATTACAAATACATTACAATTACAATAGAGCAATGCTCAAATATATGGACACGTTACACAGAGCGAAGCAGTCCTTACCCTTGACGCTACCTCAAAAAATTCCGAGTTTCACATAGCAAGAGTTTACAGAATCAAATCAGATATCTCCCCGGATTTAGCCTATTAATCACAGCTATTTCTAGACTAATTTTTGATTACTACTATTAAACTACAATTCTTAAGAAGGCAAAATGATGATTGAATTATTTGATTCATGGTTAACTTCGCGAAACACAACTAAAAACGAACGAATAGCATTCGAAATCGCAAAATGAGGTATTGTTCACATTTTACAACCACGACTGAAAATCTGCCTGATTGTCTTAACGGATGCGAAAAGGCATATTGTTACGTCTCCTTTTCGCATCTTGCTGATTGGCTAATGTTACGAAATAAAAAAGGAAGGCGATTCTTGGAAAACGCTCCTTGGAAAAATATTTCGCGTTATTGCGGGCCAGATAAAAGGACGCCGTAGTTTGGTGACCCCTGGTGTAATTGAAAGTGTAATTGATTAAAATTGTAACAAATTACAATTACATTTACAATTACACAGAATGAAAATGCCTCAATTACATGAAAAACTGTAATTAATTACATCAAATACAATTACAAATTAGCAGAGAATTTCATTAGTATAAAAATTTAATAAAAGTAATCAAAAAGGTTTTCGAAACTATTTTGAATTTCATCATTAATTATTTCTGCTTCAACCAAATAGTTTTTGAAAATTGAGTGAATTGCGGCTCACACTTTGGGGTTGTTAACAAATCTGGCTTTCAGTAAGAATAGACCGCCCTAAACTTACTTCACAAATTTTTGTGATTTTTCATTTTAGACACAGAACTTAGAGAAAAAGCGCTAGATGAGAAAAAAAAGTAAATACTATATAGTAACAATATATCTCTCAATTTATATAATACTTATGCAATTATCGTCAATAATTGAAAAAACCGCGAAAGTTTTTTGACAATATTGAATTTTATTACTTTATTTTCAAAATATTTTACAGATTTTGCGGATTTATCTGATTCTTTACGTGTATTCAAAAACGACCCAATATGCGAAAGAACACATATTTATAAAGGTGGAAAAAAAAGTATGGTCACAGGCTCCAGGCCGATTGTTATCAAATTCCTCCCACATAACAGTCAGAATATCAAGGAAGAAATAATACTACTTAACCTGGCGCACCATCCAAATGCCGTGTCTATTATTCACTCAGACATCTATAATAAGGGACCGTTTAGTAAACGTATGCACATGGCAATGGAACTATGTCTCGCACAAAATCTTAAAAACTGGGTTAATTAAAGAACTTAAGCTATCACGAAAATGTTGTTCCTTTATGTCATCTGAGGTTTCTTTTTCTGAGGAGTATTCCAACTTTGAGTTTTAATATATTGCGCATCTTCTCAACTAAATCATACCACAATTTTCAAACGTAACATGTTTTTAACAATAAACAATAAAATATTTAAGTGAAGAATTGTGAAAAAATTTTTTTTAATTTGCCGTCAAGAACAAATATGATGTTTATGAGACTGCAATGTAACAAACAATAACAACAATTCCATTTAAGTTTTTTCACATTGAGAATGATATAAAACAGAATAAATAAACTAATAATAACATATTAATATTGTGAACATAAGAGTTTCGATCTTCCAATTTGAACTATGATAGTTTTAAATTTCGATTCAATATTAACAGTAATTGTCGTTGACAGCAAACTCAATGCACGATGTCTAGCTTGTTGCTATTCGTCAATAACAGTTAGTCGTTCGAGCCAGTTGTATTAAACACAACAAAACAAAATATGACGGTACAAAATGTGATTTGGTGATTTATTTGGTGGCAGTAATATTATTTTGTTTTATGGTATATTATCTTTCAAGCAGTAAGGTTCACAACAATCTTTAAAAGAATTGAAACAAGGTAGAAACCGTTCTTTCCAGTCAGCGAAACAAAATATCACGCAACATAAATTAATTACCAGATTCAGGCTATAAATAAGCGAGTGATCTCCAAAATATAAAACTACTAGTGCAATAATATCAGTCACAATCGTTATGGGTGTGATTATGAATGATCTTTTTAATAAACGCATGAAAACTACGGATGGTTCTTGTGATGCCGAAATTGTTCTTGTGTTTTTTCTGTGTCGTAGAAGAGGAATCAAAAAAAGAACCAAGGTTGAGATTTGAGTTTCAACTTGATAAAATATTATTAAAAATAAATACCAAGTTGGAAAACATGGTAATCTAAAATATCCTCGGCTCATAATTTGATGTGCTATAAAAATACCAAATAAGATAAAACTAAAAACTACAATAACGTAAAATTGAATATAACTAAATATTTTTAAAGGATTTGACGAAAGATGCTTTAAAGAGATCACAGTATGAAACATAGATTGACGAAACCATAATGTAAGATACACAAACATAAAACTAAATCCTGTTAAAGAAACTGAAATGCTATAGTGTACAGGATGAGCTGGGTCGAAATACAATGCTAACTGACTGAACATTTTAATCAAAGAAAGAAATCCTGATACAACAAGGCATATGCTCATAATTGACCGTAGATTTGTTGGTGACAAGATGTCTTTGATAGATTCTGCATGGATTTTCCAAAGTCTTTTTTTGATTAATACATAAATTTGACACAATGTAATGTAAAATAAAATAGAAGAAATCGACGCATCCACGTAAAAATCCCATGGCAGTAAATCAGTTTGTGCAGCAGTGACGTTCGAAGAACAATTCATATCTTCGAAATATATTTTTACCAAATGCGAGAAATACAACTTGACTACTCGCTCCACGTCGAAACCCGAGACAAATCCTCTTACTCATACTGTTTTCTTTCATTCGCAATCTTTCTATTTATACCGAGGCGATGCGTGAGATGCGTCGACGTTTGGGTTGTACAACTCTCAAATTCGAATCAAAAATGATTCACAGATCATTATATGAATAATCGTCTTGATTTTTGATTTCTAACACGATCCTTGGAATAACATCAATAAGTTAGTTCTAAGATCCAGTATCTATTTCGAAAGCGTTTTGGTCGCCGATGAAAATTACATGAATGGCTTCTTTTTACATATGTCGTGGCCTATCATTCGTACATCATGTTGGAACATGCTTACTATTTTATATTTAGCTAATGCAGTTGCATTATGTTTCGATCTTTTGCAAGCAGCAATTTTACAATTTTTGTTTTAATGTTTCGTGTCTGTTGCTCAAACATCTATTCTGGGCCACCATCTGCGAGAACATACGATTGTGAGAATGTAGTTTTACAAAAACGTGCTTTTGCAAGAATGGTCTTTCGCGGAAATGTGAATTTTTTTTTCTCAGAAAACGCGTAAACGTACCTTGTTTGCAGTAATACGATCCCGAAATTTTTTATTCGCGCAAAATAACATCAGCTCATATTTTTTTGGTATTAAACGTTATCGCAAAATGTTTTCTGTCTAGTAAGCTATCGCACCTGCTCGAAATTATGGTATCTCAGTAATCGGCCAATATGGCAAAGAACAGTCCCAAATAAATTTGCAAGGACGCGTTATTAATTTGTACAATATAAGTATACATTCACACAATAAATATATACAAATAAATTAATCTGAGTATAATTTCATAGTTTCATACAGGATTCATTGAGCAATGCTAATAATTTTCTAGGACTAGTAAGACGGTATATATTTACTCGGATCTGAACGCGTTAGCATTTTCAAAAACCGAGTAAATGGTGGCACTTTTCTATTTTAAACTGCCCTAATTATGTTCTTGTTTGTTGTTTCATTTTTCCCAATATTCATTCCTTATTCCCAATATACTTGAAATATACGTTGATAATTAATAAAGCACAACCGGTGTTAGCAAAACGATGTAATTTGCCGACGTTTCAAATTTCTATACAGAAAAACTTTACCAGGGCATGGATTGGAAAAGACACAAGTGGATATATATACAGAAAGAAATGGAAAAAAAATATTACAAAGATTTGTCATGGCGTAAAATCTAATTTAAAAGTATGATGACAAGATAACATATTTAAACAAATTAGCGCAAGTTATATATGTTTATACATGTTATCTTGTCATCATCCTTTTAGATTAGAGTTTACGCGATAATAATTTTTTTTTTCATATTTTTTTCCTTTTCTTGCTCTATATATATCCACTTGTGTCTTTTCCATATCATGCCATGATGAAGTTTTTCTGAATAGAAATTCGAAACGTCGGCAAATTACATCGTTCTGCTAACACCAGTTGTGCTTTATTTGTTATCAATATGAGTTTACCTGGTGGCAATCATGCATTATACTTGAAATATATGCTTACTCGACCCAAGCTTTATGTGAGTAATATGTTATTGTTCTATACTAAGTTTCGGAATTAATATTTGCTTTTCTCATGATTAGGCCACATATGGACCATGCTACTGCTTTGTTAAGCTATTGACTCATACTGTGCTTTTTATTTAATACTTCCTGTACATGCAATGTTCCTTGATTCCACTTTGTAAGCTGGTTAGTCTAAGTGTGACACAAATATGTGTAATTGTTAAGAATAAAGCCAATAGGCTAGTCTAATGTGGTGCTAGTTACCAGATCTCTATTGACTTTACATACTCGCATTGTAGTAAGCAATTGGAAAGTCAATTTGAAGATAAGAGTTGTTATCAGAACAGAGGAATTAGTGCTTCATTATCTAACATTAGTAATTCAAAATCAGTAATTATATTTAATATAGAAAAACTAGATATAAAATACTACAAAGTGGAAATTAACTGCATTTGGACTACCAGCTAATAAATGGAGGAACAACCAGGGGGTAACTTTCTTCTTGATATTATTTTTTTTCATTTTATATTTGTGTCACTCCTTACGGAAATAAACAATGAAACATTGCGTCATTTAAAGTTGAATGTTGCCACTATTTTAGCTTAACAATTAAATTGCAAAACTAGAACCTGACACAATTTCAATGATGAACACACTGTTTTTGCAGAATAGCACAATAAAATAAAACATAAACACTTTTTTGATTACCCAACGTGTTAGTTATTTTTATACCCTTGCAAGGTTTTCTTAGAACGATTAAGCTTTGAAGCTTAACACTTAAATTGCAAAACTAGAACCTGTCACAATTTCAATGATGAACACGCTGTTTTTGCAGATTAGCACAAGAAAATAAAACATAAACAATTTTTTGATTACCCAACGTGTTAGTTATTTTTATACCCTTGCAAGGTTTTCTTAAGACGATTTTGTTTTGCTACTTTGTTCATATTAAATACCATGCATATTATCAAGGTTCTAAAGAAAAAAGTAATTTCGCAACACGTATAATTTAGGATATTACAATCTTTGGTAACTAACGTCAACGTGTTGGTAATCAGTTATATTGTATTAAAAGTAGCTATTGCTCACAAGGAAATATTGGACAACATTGAATCACAACGAATCCTTTTAAGAAGTGAAAGTCAGGATGGTGAAACGGCGACAACCCAGCCAAACAATGTTTGTAAGCAAAGTTATTGACATGTTTTTTCGACTTACGTGTAGTTTATCATCAGAATGTTTTCATAGAATTTGGCAGTTGTGTTTTACATTGATATTTAAAGTTGGTAAAAACGTATAACATTTTTTGTATCATGAAATCAAGACTTCCAATTGAATCCGGGTATCTTTACAAATAGTTGTGACGGCTTGAAAAATAATCCAGTGTTAGAAAAGAGCAAATACTCAATATATATATAGAAAATTCATTGTATACATAATATAAAAATCAAACATGTCGTGACTTTTCATTTTCGAAAGCAAGTTTCTAACTGCATTACCAAACATAACGGCATATGAGTCACAAAATTGTCTTTTAATTTGAATATATTAATCAACTTCCTCCAGCAAATCGTTATTTTACATACATTGGAATATGTGCCAATTTTTATTGACTCTGCCTATTGTTTGGAAACTGAAATTATTTTTTGGCAACTTATGCTTTTATGACCACGTTGACAAGAACTACATACGCATTAATTCACCATAAATTTTACATTTAAACCATTTTACATATATAAATGGTTTAGGTTTGTCGTTCGGGGTTAGGCTACTTACGAAGATGTCTCAGTTCACTTTGTTGTGATTTGATTGAATTTTATGACATTGAAATGAATTGCCTTCAGCCTGATGAATACAAAGCCTGATGAAGATAATTAGCATAATACTGCAATTATTAAACAAAAAATAATTTGTTTTAAGTTTATTGTTTATAGGATTATGTTAATCGATGATTCGCAAATTTTTTAATTTTTAAGCTATGATATATATATTTCTAAAAAGTTTCAGAAACATCAAATATTTAAAATAGTCAATGGCATCGTACACCAATTAAGAACATCATAAATAATATTTCTATAATTGTCGCATTTTAATTTCAGTTGACATTGACGGAAGTAATCTTTCTGGGGCTTCGATTGGAGCAAAAAATTACAACTTGCAAAAACAGGGTAAGTCTTTTCGCCATTTTTACAGTTGCTATACCTGCGTTATTACCACGTTATTAGAGTGGGTTCCTTCGATGGGTTCCGCGGATATACAATTTTGTCTTTTGGCTCAGTCAAAATGTTTCGTTTAAATGGATATCTAAGTCAACTAAGTCCTCTAAGTTTACGCAAAAAGATGTTCTTGATATTGGGGCTCTGCTTGTTTATTCATTTATTAATTAAACTTACGTCATACCATGCTCTCTAAATCTATTGTCACTCAAATTTAGATTGCCTTGTAATTTTATCTTTTCGTCAGACTTTGCAGGAGCAGATTTGAAAGGAGCCCATTTCGGAACTCGGATAATCAACAAAACGTACATTACCAAATACGGTAAGTTTTGATATGCCTATATAGAGCAAAATATGCAGAGAATTTTATTAGTATAAAAGTTTTACAAAAGTAATTAAAAAGGTATTCGAAACTTTTTTGAATTACCTTATCAGTCATTTCAGAGCTCCAATTAAATAATCTCTGGAAACTGAGTGAATTGCGGCTCACACTTTAGGGTTGTGAGTTGAGCCTGACTTTCAACCGCTTGAAACTTGACTTCACAAATTTTTGTGTTTTTTAATTTCAGATACAGATACAGAAAAAGAATCAAATGCGGAAAAAAGTAAATACAATATAAGTATAAATGGGATATCCCTCAATTTATATAGTACTCAGCCAACTATCGCGAATTAATAAAAAAAAAATCGTGGTTTGGCCCATATTGAATTTTATTTGCTTTTAATTAGTTTATTTTGAAATTTTTTTACAGATTTTGCGGATTTATCCGATTCTTTACGTGTATTCAAAAGCGATCCAATATGCGAAAGAGCACATATTTATCGAGGCGAACAAAAAAGTATGGTCACAGGTTCGAGGCCGATTGTTATCAAATTCCTCCCATATAACAGCCAGAATATCAAAGAAGCAAAAATATTACTTAAGCTGGCGCATCATCCAAATGTCGTGTCTATTATTCACTCAGACGTCTATAATGAAGGACCGTTTAGTAAACGTATGTACATTGCAATGGAACTATGTCACGCACAGAATCTTGAAAATTGGGTTAAAGAACATAAACTATCAAGGAAATCATTCGAAGCAGCTTTACGTATTTCAATGGCAAAAGAACTAATAAATGGTTTAGCGTTCATACACTCAAAGAGCGTGATTCATCGAGATCTCAAGCCTAGTAATATTTTACTCACTCACGATAGGTTACACGTGAAAATCACCGATTTTGGTTTGAGCAAAGAATTACGACATGGTTGCTCTGTAACAGCTCAAAGTATTGCACGTGTTGGAACCGATGGATTCAGGGCACCTGAAACATATCTACATGATATTATATCTCAACAAGCCGATATATTCTCTCTTGGTCTTGTCATGTATTTTCTATGGAGTAATGGACTGCATCCATTCGGTGCAGAACCTGATTTGTGGAATTATAACATAAAAATGAGTAAAAATCTAAACCTAGAGGGGCTCTTAATAAATCACGTGAAGAAGGCCACAAACATGCTCAATCGAATGTTGAAATTTGAACCATACCAACGTCCAAGTGCAGATGAACTCAAAGGTCATGCGTTATTCCAGTATTCTGTAGTTTTTTCCTCGCAAGGTATTTTTCATTGTATTTTATATTCTACTTTATGGAAGGAATTAATAACATGAATAGTTGTATTTGAATAAACAATTAGTTTTCTAAGAATAAGCGAACATTTAAAAAGTCCATATTTGATGGCACCCATGACACGGAATTCTTTAAATGTAGAAAATATCACTAAACATTTTCGAATAATTTGAAATTTTAAAAAAATTATAGAATGAAACAAATTAACCTGCTTATCTACTGGTGATATATATTATATTTTATATTATTGATTAGATGAGGTTATGTTGATATATGACGAATATTCCGAGCATTTTCACCTCTACAATCCAGAAACTAAACAGTGGAAGGAAATCCAGGTTTATATATCTTACTGTCCATATATAATAATAAACGTCATGTTTTCTATCTTCTTAATTTTAATTTTATATATCTCGTTATTTTCAGATATCACTGAGAGATTTAAACTGCAAATGGTTTTCAATTGTTTCTTTGAATGGATACGTTTACATGTTAGCAGGATGTACAAAATCAACTTATCGTCTGAAATATACTGATTCATCTTCTACCTTGGAACGAATGGCTGATATGTTGAAGGACCACGGATTCTGTCCGCCTGCTGCGGCATTAAATGGTTGGCGCTCCCATATTTGTAATGTAATTTTATCCCCATCACAGTAAAATTGACTCAATTATCTCATTTATAAATTATCTCTAATTGATCTCTAATTAATTAATTATCTCCAATCAATCTAATTAATTTCGACAACTTTTCTTTCCGTGAATATGATTTTAAATTTTAATTAGATTGTATCTATGTCTGTGGAGGAAATTTCCCTGTTACTACGTACGTTGCAGAAATGTTTGATTCCAGGAAAAAGACATGGACATATATTCAAGATTTAGAGTTTGCAAGGACTTCTGTGATTTTAGTGCCTGAAAAAGGTATAGTACAATGCGTATTAATTTGGTCTTATAATCCAGTTTTTCCGTATAAAATGAGATAGGGTAATAACCCAGCATGTCTTGAAGTTTGATGGTTTTTCAGGCGGGATCTATTGTCTTGGAGGTCAAGATACCGCAGGAAATATCTTGAATTTGTCCTTGAAATATGATCGCAAATCTAACACTTGGCAGAAAATCAAACACTTGTTGTCTAAAACTTGTCTTGGAAGTGCCGTTAAATTGGACGACTTTATATATGTTTCAGGTAATATAAACTAAAATGCATCACATAAAGTGACGTTTTCAATAAATCTCGATCTTCATCAAATATATTCCCAGTTGTTTGCCGAACATCAGTGAACGGCTATGAAGATATTTATATTCTATCTTAGAAATATCTAAATTGAGATTATCAATGCAGATGATATTGGAATTCAAATGTTCGATATACCGAATGAAACATGGAGCTGTCTGGAAATTGCAAGTGAATGGCCTTTTATAGAAGGAAAATTCGTGAAATCACTTGTTGTCAATGGTGAACTGTTTCTTGTCGGAATAACCACTCAGCGGTACGTATCATAATTGTAAATTTGATCATTGTTCAAGTAGAATTCTCAAAAGGTCTGGGAGGAATTAGCTGAATGGCAAGCGGTCGGTGTCTGTCTATTTAAAATAAAATTCTTTCCTTACATCAACAATTAAGTTTACATCCTCTACAACAATGTTTGAAATCAAACTCCGTAAATGATAACTATGACCCCGACATTGATTATTTCAACTTCAGACAATGTCAAGGTGATTCAAATAAAAATTAGAAATAGAAACTCGAGCTTCGGCTTGAGTGTCGTGTCAATAATCAATCGGTGACACATTGTATATAATTACCGCTGAACTAAATTTACACCACCTTGCCACACATTTCCAATATAATATTAATCAGGAAACATGTTTTTATCAAATTTCTATAAAAGTGCATAATCACATCGTTGAGAGTGGTATCTTTTTTTTTTCAAGAAAGAAACTCAGTGTATTCAAGTTCAACATAGGCTCGCGTTCCCTGACACTTACGGACGAGATAACAGGCAAACAATTTTTTCGTCGTGCATGGATAGTCACTGCAAAGTAGACGGGAAGGATTCATATATATCAAGATTGTCAAGCTATTCCATAAACTCTATCTATAAGATTGATTTCATTTTATTTTAACAATAAAGTTATATTTTTGTTGGCATTGCTAAAATCAAATCAAAATAACATTAGTAAATACTCGGATTCGAGTCAAATCCATGCATTTTTTGAGAAAAGTCAGACATCTGATAATATTGAATTCATTTACAGTACTTATATTTCTCCTAATTCGGTCTTGTTATTTGCGAGGGGTTTGGCATTGCAGAATATTTTTATCACTAAAGATCTTCAAATTCTTTCAGATTTAATTTACTAGTCTAACTTAAAATACTAGTATAAGCCTATTATATATATATATATATATTGTGATTAATAGCAATGATCATACCCCCATTAACTCCGTTGTAAATATTCACTCATCTAAAGATTTAATACTTGAGTTGCCCAGTGATGTTTTTTTATACGACCGTCAGTTGGTGGCTATAAAATAGGTGCAAAAGATGGGTAAGCTGATGTTTGGGATTACATATAGTGCGGGCGTTTTTGTTAGAGTATGAACTTATTTTGACAAATGTAAAATCGACGAATATACATCATAGACAACGCCCTTCCTGAGCTGAAAGCGTCGCCACCAGTACTGCAGCACGTGCGGTAGATAGACTGCCGTCAACATCAACTGAAAGTTAGGTAACACGCAAAGCAGGAGACAGAAAAGATACGAAAGCTAACAAAACACAATCAGAATGCGTCCTTAGACTTGATTTTGAGATTTGAATATCCAAAAAGAGGTCTAAATGTAGGTGCAGATGATCATAGGAATACAAAAAAATTTCATGATTTACAGATAGTTATATACCTAATACCAAAATCTCTACCACACTTTTTAGCTCCCTTAAAAATGCTGGTTATTATATTGGTGTACTGGTAACTGGGACAAATCCAATTCATAAAAAGTACCGGCAGCCCACCGGCATGTGAAGGATTTAATTATTCCCAACAGTCACGCGTCATTGATTTCTATATAATTAGATAGATTTTAGTTTGATTCATTCGCAAAAATAAAACAACATAGAGAAGGATGAGGAATCTGAATTGTGACCAAAACATGTATATAAGTGAAAATCTAATGAATGTGTTTATCTACCGAATTGAAAAAAAAACAAATCTCAGCATATCTGAAAAAAATAAAGATGAATATAGACAGTGGGTGTATTATTCAGTCTTGCTTTATATTCAGATTGCGTGCAATTCACCGGGGGTGGCAAACACGTCGATCGCCACGTCTCGAGCAGTCGATTGCGTCTGATGTGAATTTTATTGAAATACCCCCAAAAATTGTCTCGAACCAGTTGTGTGTTCTGCAACAAGCAGAATACAGTACTTTACATGCGCAAAATACAATATACCGGTACACATACAGTATTTGAGTCTGGGCAAGCCCGATAAACCATATTATCAAGTAACAAATGCAAGTTTTCCCGCTGCCAAGGTTTTAAAATAAAGTGTGGAATATTGCGTGTCTAGACCAGGGTTTCTATGTTGGCGCCAAACATGTGCTATCGATTAGGTTGAACTATGAAGAAGTCTGACCTTGATCAGACGAAACGTTACAAAAATATATTTGTGTTAGTGTGCAGCAAGACTCTTGAATCACTTAGAATGACATAACAATTGCAGTTTTTGCAGCCGCTCAGACAGATGTTCAAGCAGGCTTCGTTTTCATAGTTTTGCGTGTTACAGTGTTATTTGTCCGTTTTTAGTAGGACAAATCGAATCGAATAGTAAATTATTCGAATCGGTTCAGAGCTAAATTTCGAATCGCCGCCATCTTGTTTTTGTTCTTTCCGCCAATGGTCGAGGTGAATTTCCCAATTTTTTTTTCATTGAAGTCATATTTTTTCAACGCAATTCTAACATATGACTATTTTCTGTAGTGAGGTATTGATAAAACGTGTGTGTTAGTGTGTGTGAACCCTCAGTAATCTATCTGATGGATGTATTCTATGTCTTCGGTGATTCATTTGTCAAGAGGACTAATTACTATAAAAAAAAATTGCTCACAATTATATATTTTCAAGTATTCCAGATTTGATTCGGAAAAATTATTCGTTTCGATTCTGAAATCACAGGATATTCAAAAATGCCCAGCCCTAGTTTTTAGTTATGTTTCCAAAAAATAGTTGGTTGCCTTAATTCAGTAATTATCATTTTGCCTTCCGAGGAGGTTTAGTTTTATCTCGGCTAAAATCATATATCAGTAGACTATCTGTGCAAGCGGCACGTGGTTAAATATTTTAGTAAAAACGATTCCTTCAAACATGTGAACCAGTTTATAATCGCCAACACTTCAAACCAATCATAAAAAAATTTCAATAGTAAAATATCGGGAGAATTTTTCGAGGTATATATATCGCAAGTTAGAGTAGATGTCGACAGAACTATGAGGAATTACAGACTAAGAGATCTCGCAGAAACCAAATCATTAGAGTAAAAACGTGTACATTTATCCGTCCTAAAGCGGCATGGTGTATTGCATGGTCGTCCAATCTTTTTGGCCGAAGGGCCGCATGTAGTTTACTAATATTTGCGCGGGCCACTTAACATGGCATTATGTTCTAGTTTTGCTACACTGACTACAGGTTAATGAAAAAAAAAATACCCGCACACCAAACTTTCTCAATTATTATACCAATAAAACTGTTGTTTTCGATTACGTCATATAGAGTAGTAAGACACCAAGTGTGTAAGCGGCTATGGCACCTTTATTATCGATATCTCCTCCCGGTTGGTTTCGATAAAAAATGGCACTAATGGCTTGTTTGAAAGGGCTGGCAGAGCGCATTTCAGGAAAATAAACAAATCGTTTGTTCACATTACTCGAAAAATAATTTTATTCCAATTTTTTTATTTAATTTTAAAAAATATAGCGCGGGCCACTCGAAATGCTTTCGCGGGCCACATATGGCCCGCTGGCCAAGGGTTGGACGACCCTGGTGTATTGTATATACCTGAATTGAAAAATAATGCTGTCCGCCTAATATTTCCACGTTTGGCTTTTTGATGTTTTTAAATTTTTTATGTAGATGGCAACCCTGGTCTAGACTGACAAACGATCCTACAATAACTTCCGCAGTACGCGAAAGTTATTGTCTCACTCCAAGAGTAGTGTGATAAATTTTATTCGCAATGGTAGCAGTGGCATGAAAATGCCCAATTTGTTCTAATTCTAAGCAAGCAAAGAATCGCGTTTAGAGGAAATTGTAAATTAGATACTGAAGTTTGAGCAGTCATGTAACATTCATGGTTTGAGAATATTTATTTTTCGCCGTTTGGATAATACCTGGCAAGGTTTCTTGAAGAATTTTCAACACTTACGACTGAAAATTAGGCACGTCCTATCTGAATTGTATGATGTAAATAAATCTTAAATAAATAATGATCCAATTACTCCGGGTACAATTAAATATTCAAATCAACAACTTGAATGAAAGATAAAAAATAAAAATTTTGTGACGATTTTGCGATTTTTTTGTATGCGTGTGTACAGTTATCTGCACATTCAGTGCCCATTCATTTTTGTATATGGGACCTTATTTACCGATCAGTCCATCGCGGTCGGTAGAAGGTTGGACACCCCTGACTTATACAAAACAGCCAGAAACAAAACAGTTGCAGATGTGCATATGAGGAGTGAGACATCATGTATAAAACCAATCGAGATTTTTTTTCTAGATAACATTCTGGCAAGTACCAGTGTTTTAATCCTAATAACTCAGAAATTATCAAGTCCTTATCATAATATCGACCACACTGTCCACGCAAAATGTACAAATCGATTATTCTTTCTCATTCCATATCGTTTTAACCTTAAAGCTTACATACAGTGGTTTGGTTGAAATATCTTCCATTTTTGCTTATAGGTTTTCCTATCAATGAACAGTCACATATGTGAAATTCTTGATATAAGAGGAACTGCGTGACTATCGTTTTGTGGAATTTTATGCCAATTGTTATCTATTTTTGTGGGTTTTTTTTCATTTTTAGGAAGAATAGTGTCAACATTATTAGAAAAAAAGTTTTTAAGTGTACGTATAGGAAGTTTTAGCAATGATTGCTGATTGTGATACTGAGATCGAATTTTAGAAATCAATCAAATCGTTTTTCGTTAGCCATTCAGGCAAACGGGCACAATAGAATGAAAGCAAAATTGAAATTTATACATATTCATGCTTTTGCGCAAGAGGAAGCGAGTTTAATGATTGCGAGGTGTAAAATAGCAATGTTTCTAGTTTGTAGTATAATATGTAATAGTAGAAACGAGTTTAAACCGGTCCCTAACAAAGTTATATTGAAAGCTTCACTCATTTCTAATAAATCCTGTAGCCTATAAATCAGTTAGCCGACACGTCCGTCGCGAACGCCTCACTTATCATCGGGTATTAAAAGGTGGTTGATCTTGTCTTATTTTAAGTGTACTTGAAATTTGTCTTCAAGCTGCCTTGAAGTAGCGCTTGTTTAAACATTAGGTAGGTTCTCGTGGAAATTCCTTTTTAACTGCGCTCACGAAGCCCAATCTCCCATCAACCGTGCAGGATCTTTTGCATGCGCAATACCGCAAGAGTTTTTCAAGTTGATAACCCAAGAAGATAATATCATTACTCTGACTTATATACTTAAGGGAGTTCCCGTAGCACCAACTAAAACCACTCTAGGGCAGCTCCTGTCAAGAACTTTTGACATAATTTGGCCTCGCAAAATACAGCGGCCCCATCAGTATTTACACATAGTAGTGCTAGGGCGAGACAGTGATTTTCATCTGATGTTCAGTGCACCATTGGTTCTCCGTGATTAAAATTCAAGTGTGCCGAACTCTAAAACTCGGAATCATGACATAAAAATAGTTAGCCTACAAACAACGTTTCTTTTTATGGCACACCCCACGGCAAACCAATCACTTTAGCAATGATGGACATATTTTTGAAAGTAAACTTTGAAACATTTCAGAAACGGCTTTCCTCAATCCCTGGCAAAATAGAAGGAATTGTTTTCATTGAAGGTGGCTTATATATCGCATTAAAATGCCATTGCTATTCCTAGCTACTCTTAGTCTATTAGAATTAGATAATTCTTGATACTTCAGCATTTCGAAACCAACTTGGTTCATAAGGTCATTCATTATTCCTTTCGCTATTTCCTTTCCATGCCGGAAGTGATCAAAACAGTAATCCAGATAGATATTAGGTAATCGGATCAATTATCATATCTATAACTCAACGGTATGAGACAAATATTTACGTACACAATCCTAGGTTCTACAATACACAATCTAATGTAAACAAGTTCTTGTCGGTAAAGTACCGTCATGTTCAATCAATGTTTATACCGTTCACTTCCGGTAAATATCGAATCAACATCTTTTAATGACGTCATCGGCGACCTTATAACATAAAATTGTATTTTATTTCATTTTCTATAGATAATTACCAATATATTTATAAAATAAAATTAAACGTAAAAGAACATTTCACCTGTAGATATAGAGGTTTAGGATACTTTGTTGTTTTATCTTATTTGAAAAAAATTCCGAACCTTAGAAAAATTGCCAAATTCAGGTCATATGTAGCAAATAACGTATTAACGATCATGTTGCGCCCGGGCCAACACGAACCCAATCAACACGCTTATAGCGAAGATAAGCGTGCTATAGACTAAATAAAAATATAGCGGAATACACTATTTACATATTTTGTTACTAATCACGAGGCTGACTCTTTGTTGTTTCTTTGAAAATAGAATAACCCGATTTATATTTAGATTTGCCTCGTGTTGTAGGCATAAGTGGGATTGACCAAATTAATATATTTCTTGAATAACAATTTGAACATCAATTACCAACTTTTATAAAAAGTATCATTTTGAACAATATTTACTGGATGAGCCAGCAAAAAATTAACTCAGGACTTCGCAAATAAAACCCCATGTAGAGGAATACATTTGATCTTGAACTCATCAATAATTCAAATGAAAACTGATGGATGTGATGATTTAATGAGATAATAGAGGCATACTAGTTCCGGTACCTCAAGAGAAATATTGGGTAATCACTAATACGCGGTATTTTATGCACGTAAATGACAAATGTAATAAAAAATCACCAATCGATCTAGATAGGAAAAAGAAGAAAAAATTAACGGAGTTGCTATACGCCGTAAAGATTACCTAGAATAACTCCACTCACTAAACTATGAACAGTCATTATGTTAACAGTTCATTCGCATTCAGTGACTCATAACAGTCAAGACATTCTTGGAATGATTTTATTACTGCTTACTTCAATTTGAAAGTAACCTAAGTGTTGAGCAAGAGAAACTGCATCCAGACTGGGGGATTTTCGAGTTTCACAAATAATTTTATCTTGGCTTTTAAAGGAGCAAATGATTTTAGTAATTGGAAATTTCTTACTAAAATGGCTATAAAGTGTGAAACTGCTTAACATCACCACGATATGATATGATAAGATATTAATATTGAAATGTAATACGATAGGCAAGGGATCAAGTTAAAATTTATATATATATCTTCGGCATATCAGTTATAATCTCAGCTATTTTGGTTGTTTTAGGACTATGTAGGATATTATTTTTATAAAAAATAAATTCCTAATAGATGTACAATAAACTGTAAACAGTCGTTGTGACGAACCACGCATTTCCGAATGACTCGGGGCGTTTCTTATATTCAACTATAAATAATAGATCGCTCTGAAGTTTATACTTTTAAAGATTATATTCTTCTGTGTATTCTAAAGTTTAGTATCTTGTTTAAACTTAAACTTTAAAAAATTACGCTAAAAAAATGAAGAATAGCAGATTTATAGCACATAGGAAATAGCGTAAAACAAACGTAGCTCGTAAGCGTGTTGGCTCTAAGCAGAAACGTGTGAAGTTGAAGACTAAAAAATATGACGTGATGTCGAGATAGAACTTAGAAGTTGAAACCATAAGATTTTCAGTTTCATTTGTCACAGGAGTGCAAGTCAAATAAAATGCGCAAAACATTAGGCTGCAGCAAAATACTGAGACTTCGGAAGCGGAAATTTGAATGAAAAATGGCCGAGACGAATATATATATATACGATATTTTGTATTTTGTCCGATTGAGCTTGTTAGTTACTCCTATTATGTACTAGTATTTCAGAGTGAGTTGCTCAAGAATCTAAGCGTATTTACCATTCCGTATGCGTTCTTAGACACAATTAGACTCAAATAACATGAAATCGAAATTCTATAACGAAGATCATGTGAAGTAAAAAATTTGAATAAATATGATATTTATTATCTCTTCTTCTCTAGATAAATAAAAGTTTATAATACATCTGAAAAGTGTATCCACTCACTGAAGTCTGCAAGTTTTTGGAACCATGTTTGAAACGAATTGCTCATCTGATGCTGAACCATCGTACAAACAATCGGATAAATTATATACATGGGAATTTTATCTGGATGTGGCTACACTGGTTGTTTTAATCTACATTACCCTCTGCCAAGTATATGTACTGATCGTCAATGAACTGTACAAAATCGGAAATTTGAAAAATATTTCATTAGCATCTAATCTCAGATCAGTAATGAGTATGGTTATTGTTGTAACAGGATTGATTGCAATATCCAGAATGGCATTAACGATTTTACTTTTCTTTCAATTTACACCAGCGATCTTTTTGAGTGAAGCTTTATTGACTGATTATTCGTACTTTTCTGTTTATTTTGTATTGTGGCTTCGTCAAACAATGTATCATACTGTTCCTTCATTAAAACATCTTTCGTCAAAGTTTTTAGGATTTTTCAGTTCATTCCAAGGCTTTTTTATGTTGTTTTTCGCCATATTGGTCATTTTTGTAACTTGGTATTTAGTGATGATAAAAAATTTAACAGACGCTGCATGCTTCCCAGTTTGGACCATGCTTCTATTGTTATTGTTCCAAGTTGAAACGCAAATTGCTACCCTAGTATTGTTTTTAGTGCCTCTACTTCGCCACAGGAGAAATTTCAAAAAATCCTTCACAGGACAAAATCCACCAACAAATCTCATTAAATTATTGACTAGATCTCTAATCATTACACCAATAGCAATAGTTACGGACATTCTTGCAATATCGGTTCTATTTTCAACTGGTTTTGCAGCAGTTTATCATTGGAATATAGTAATCAATTTGTGCTGCGTTTTATTTTGTTTTGCTGATTGGAAAGAGAGGCTGTGTCCTCTTTTTAAAGCCAATACCTGCTCAGCAAAGGAGCGTTCCGAAGAATATAGAAGTCCCCAAGATTTAACAAATTTGACTTCTTAACTTTTTAACAAAACTATTTAGAAATATGGTTTGTTGTCATTATTTGTAAGTGTATATATATGTATTGATCTTTTCTAAAAAAACATGTATCACATCTTGTATTATATAAATGTAAAATTTAACATATTTCATATGCTGTGTAGTTTCAGTTTACTTGTCGAAGAAAAGATGACTTGGTATCAATGAATTCTACTATGAAATCATAGCCTTGTAGTTGTTTATCACGCGACTGGTGGTACTTTGAACAATTAACCAATGACATCTTTCCCAGCAATACGGAAGCTGGTGGATATTTCACGAAATAGGATAGTTAAGATTTTGATTGTTGAGTAATCGAGCTAATATTACGTAGGCAGAACATGACCCCGAGCAGCAAAATAATTTAAAAGCAGAATACACGTATGGCGATAAAAACGACCGTGCCTGACACGACCATTTCGACTTCAAAACTACATGGAGCCATATTTGAAGTGGGACTTGCTCAACTATGCTTACATTCGTGCTATCACTCGGGATAACAATGCCTTTATTTTCTTATTGTTTTTCATGGTATGACGCCACAATGCTCATATATGGTCACTTTTAAAACAAAAGCACCACGCGCCAGCTGTCAGATAAATGTAAAAATAACACGACCAATTTGGAACGCGACCAGAAAACAAAACTAAAAGCTTTACCAATCCAACTGACTAAATCGATATCACCCAGATCGATTTGTGAAATAGCATGTATCAGGTATATTCTGATGCATGCTAAGAATTCTGTTGTACACATCGCATCTACACGCATATATATCTCGCATATAGACAAGAAAATTACGGTATATCTTTTTGTCACTCGCTAATTTTGTTACAAATTCAAATTATCAAATATTTGTCCTCTGCACTACAACTCTCGGTGGTCTTTTAAGCTTTCATTTTTTTATTAACTTAACAACATTACTTCGATATACTTTCTTTCCCATCAACCTAAGCAAGAAAACAATTTTATAATTTAATTATTCAAGTTATCATGCAAATATTGCTAAAAATTGTGTATATGAACCATTCTTTATGACCTTCTATCGTCTTGTATAATATAGTAGAAAAATGAAAGAACTAAACATTAATTATAATACCGAATGCAAAGTGGAATAATTTAATAAATGGAATTTAACACAGTTATGCAATGTGCTTTTGCGTGAGAAGCCAAATAAATTTATCCCAACAATTACACGGATTACATTTTGCACAGGTCACATTTGAATGGTTTTGGGTTAGGAAATTTTGTAAACTTTGTGCAATGAAAAAATGATAAAAATTATTTAGAAATTATTGTCTAATCATTTTAATAACTTGAATAACAAATCACCACGAATTGAACATTTCAATAAATAACGTTTTCTGATAGTTCAATATTGCTGCAACCAGAATGAAATAATTTAATTTCACTCCAACCATTTCCAACGTCTATTAGCACGTTATGAATTCGCAAAATATCTTCAGCTGTTGGATAAGGATTTCGACTGTGAGCCCAGATATTCCTTTCACCTGAAAATGTACAAAGTTTGTTTACAATTTTGCAAAACATATGAACTTAAAATTATCAGGACTGTCTCACCCAAAACACTATAAATTTTCTATATTTTCAAACGAAACATGATCAACTAGATTTTTCTATGCATGAGGAGTTCATACACCTGGAGTATGTAATCTGCATATTCATGCTCATTGAAACCATGAGTGCATTACAGTGGAAGTCTACTTAAATTATGAAGACACTAATTCGGTTACATCATGCAAAAATCGAATTTAAATTGTTTACATTTTAGATCAAAATTAGAAAATTTTTTAAAATAAGGATTCTGTATACCCGCCTAGCTCCAAACAAAAATGTACAAGCTTACGGGTATCGTCATTTCAAATGTGATCTGTAGGGAATCTAATTATTTTGTTATGCTCACCAGAAATACACTGTAAACACAAATAATAATGTTCGTAATCCGTCATGCAACTCATAGAGTTGTTGTACATTTCCTTAATTTCTGCAATAAAACGTTGTTCAATAATTAAAATGAGTAAAGCAGAACACAATATTTTTTTGACACTAACTACGCTCCACCCATTTAATTTTGACTATAGATCCAACACTGATTATCAAAAAAATTGAGAACGTCTTTCGACAACAGCATTCCATTTTTTGTTTAACCACCTCCTGATTCCGGGTTGGCGATATTGTGAGTAGAAATATTTTCGAAAGTCAACAAATATATTGTTTCAATTTGAACATTTAACGACTCCGACTCAACTCTAAAAAATTAAGCGTTGATAAACTAGTGGTTAAAACAACAGAGTCATGCTTAAATATATGGACACGAAATGGTACGTAACCCACCTGTACCGTATGACAGCTGAGAGACAGATTAGTACTAATGCAAAAGGGAACGTCACATGGTGCGCATTTTTTAATTTTGAAAACGTCATCGTACACAAAGAAAACGAATTCCGTAGAGGCCACAAAAATATTTGAAATATATAAATGTAATTGCCTTCTAGCGAGAAATATAATCTAACCACTGAAAATTTCTAAGCAATCTGCCCAGTAGCTAATGAGACTTTTTTTCACAAGAAGAAGAAAAGAAATACCAACAAGGAAATCAACAACAACAAAATAACAAAACGATTCATAGGTCCATTTCGTATCCAATATTTGAGATTGGATCAGTTTTCATATGTATAAAAACCGATAACTATAACAGATAATTATATAAAATGAAATGAAAGATCACTCTTGCCTTCATCAGCAAGCTTTCCAGATTCAATAGATTTTGCTTCATGAAGCCACAAAAATTCTGAAAACGTGAAAATAATTCTACAATTATAATTTTGTCAATATTCTTAAGAAACCACATATTTTTACAGTAAAAGCAAATCAGTAAAGAAAACGGTGCGCTTATTTGGAACACTTGCAGAATCGCCTGTAAAAGCGTATTCGAACTTGATGTCAGAGATCAAAATAATTGTCATTATTATTACATTATTATTGTTACGTTAAAGAATGATTTACACCAGGGTGAAGTTGTTGCAAATCCGCAGTTATACATATTTTAATGCAACCTAATTGTAAGATACAGAAAATAAAACACACCAAACTTTTCGTCAAGTTTCACAATAGAGTTTCCGCCATGTGTCCAGTGTACAGGAATAATGCCATATCTAATTGAATCTCTAAAAAGTGAAAGTTGTCTTGATAGTTTGTATAATTTAAAATTAAATATATTATACATACCGATAGTTTGGAGTTATTAGTTATTGTTTTTCATCCATGATCCTAGCTTTTGGCAACGCTTATTTCAACTTAAAATATTTACCTGGTTTCGTTAAAAATTGATCTGAATTCAGCAAAGACATCTATTGCTGTTGGTGCTCGCATATTTTTAACTGCATAACACGGTACATTATGTTCGAGAGGATCCTTCACATTCAGAATGTGATACCAAGTTCCTGGAATCTTAATAAATAATATGAATCATAGCATGCGAATAGATTTATCTTGGGTGATTGAGAAGAGAAGTACCTGTGCCTGGGAAACTGAAATTGTGTAACCTAAAAATGATTGATCACCTCAATGATAAATATCCTTTTCCGGCGCACGAGCATACAGCACATACACAAAACAAGAAATGACGAGTATATAAAAAAAACAATTCAAAAATTTTGAATTTATGCTTTATATTTAACAAATAGCCGATTACGACGAGAACAATATTTACTATTTATTATATTTTCCTCATCCTATAGGGATTGTGAGCAATTTAACTTTTTAATTTTTTTTATTTTTATAGTAAAAACTCTTGGAATTACACACAAAAGCACATTCATTCATGCTTACCATGTTCCAATTTATTTCTTCATGAACCGGCAAAACACATTCTTCATTTGATTCTGAGATTAGACTTACCAATCCAATAAAGAACATATTTACAAAAGTTATCTTCATATTGTAATATGTGTATGTAACAACAGCAAATGGCACAGAAAACTCTGTATCGAAAACACACAAGCCTCACAAAACTGCTTGAATATACACTTTGATTTTTCCTGTTAGGAGTCTCGCTGTAATCAATACAATCCAAAACAACTCTTTGCTGCGAAGTACAAGGCAGTGCCTTTCGTAACGTTTCGTTTAACGGGCTTAGTTGGAAGTAAATGAATTTTGTAACTGTCTTCTTGCCTAAGATTATAGGTTATCGCAAACACATTCCGAATATTGCATTTGTTTTTACCGTTATTCGTTCTAACCGTTCTAACACGTATATAGTACATAATATTACAATATTCATTTATCATTTATTTATTACTTATCGATCTTTAGATCGGTAAGTATGTTGATAGGTATTTGTTTGTCTGTCTGTTAGATGTAAGCGATATCTCACGAAGGCGTGGTTGAATCTGCTTTAAAATTTGCATTCATCATAGCTCGGACCAGAAGCCTATTGATTTTGGATGAATTGTGTCGTATAATTAGCGAGTTATTGATTAATTAGTGATGGGACACAAGGTGTCACTATGGAGTAAGAGCGCTGTTATGGGGAATCCCCTAACTTTTGATCGATAAGTCTTCGGTCTCTGACCGATATTCTCGTTTATTTAGTTGATATTAACTAATTCCATGCATATTGCATCAGTGCTGATTAGGTTTACCCATTAAGAATTCACAAAATATTTATTGATAGATTAATTCTTGAATGTGTGATGAGGACATGCAGTTAACCATCGAAATGTTTTTTCAAGTAAAGATGTAGCGATAGCTTATGCGTTTCTGGCATTTAGTTTTATTTCTGCAGTTGATAATGCCAATGCCATGGCTTTGAATAATCTACTTTTACAGTGACATTCAATTACATCCCATGTACGATTTTAGAATCTAATATGCGTTAGAGCGCTATATAGCTTAACATTAGCCGTAATATTAGAACATTATATAAATCTGTATACTGAAATCAGTGCAACACAGATAAAAGGATTTCCATTAATTTCAATTTTCAATAATTAATATCTTATTAAATGATCTGTTATGTAAATTGTAAGATGCATGAAAAATTGGCTAAAACTGAATTTGGCAAGAAGGTACTCAGATAGGAGTTAAATATTAATGATGCCCCTGTTCAGGTCGTGCCATGCTTGACTGTAAAATAAAATACTTTATCATTTGTTAAGTTAAATTTAAAAAAAATGCAATAACTTAACAAGTTGTGTTGTAGCGTAATTCAAAATCCAAAAGAAAATTATATAAATATTTTTTGTTTTGTCCGTTCATGAAAAAATATATTAGGAACATGGCATGTGATATGATGAGATATATATTCGAGTCGCATTCTGAGAACTTACTGATTCCCACTAGATAAATTGATATTCCGCAGCATATTTCGGGAGAGATGGACGTTATCGTTAGCTTGGGAGATTCCAGTCCTTCGGAATTCTATAGATTGTCATCACATTATATTAATCACTTATAAAAAAATAGACGCATATCACGCGTTTGTAGTCATTTAACAGTTGCCTATTTTATAGGAATGCAGCAACACTGTAGTCTGCGCCTATATGCCATCTCATTCATTGTACAATGACCAAACGAAATGTAAGTATAAATATTAATTACCAAAAAAATTTTACTCAGAATTTGAATGACGTGTTTTCTGGATTTAGACAAAGCATAGGTTTAATAACTTCAACCGACTATAAAGTTTTCAAAACTTCGTTTCCAACGAATTACCTCGTAGTTAAGCCAGAAAACAGAACAGAGGCAACGTCGAAAACGTAAGTGAGTTTGTGTCACGTGTGCGATCCCTCATTATCAAGATGAGCTTCGGACTGCGGACCCTGCCTTAATTAACCCGACCCTAGTTGTATTAAGAATCAAGTTAGGTCTAGGGAAATGACTAGATAAAGAAATTAGTGTCGAATCGGCTGCTAATTGATCTGAACGATAGGGGAATAAGTAAGATGCAAATGAATGTAACGGCTCCCAAGTATTATTTTAGGCACAACCGTTTAATAAACTTGACATTATCTAGGGATTAGAAAAGAATCAACTTTCAAAGAATATTTTTGCACAAATGGAAGTGAATTTTACACTGATCCTATACAAAATCACTAATTGAAAGGTTTGAAAAATTGTTCTAGGGTTCCATGGTTGCTAGAGCTTTCGCTTCACACACAGCACAACCTTAAATATTCCAACAATGACGCTAATAATCATAAAACTACTGAAAAATTTTACTGGTTTGAGATTTGGTACAAAAACCAGAAAACGGTCTATTTCCTTACAAAACATCAGTAATTTAGTAATAAATCCAATCAAGAAGTGATATAACTGCGGGAAACTCGAAACGCCGCAGTATAAAATAAATCATCTGCAAAATAACAATTTTTCAATCAGTAATCTTGCAGCAAGTTCGCAAATTTAGAAGTTATTAACCTGATTCAGAGAAAAAATCAAGTTACATACATATTCATGCTGTGTATACTTATGCTAGCTAGTATGTCCATAGGTCACAAGGCAAATTATACATACATAGATTTTAATAAATATTCATTATTCTTTGTTGTGACGTCGATGTTGTTTTCTCAAAGACTATATATGTCCCCACGTATGGGAACATACCATCTGTTTGAATAGGAATTCCGTATATAAGTAAAAAAAGTAAGATTATAAGCTAAATATTATTATTGGTCGAGAATAGTAAATATTGTAAAAGTATCTTCAATTTGTGTGTAATTTGTATAGAGCATAAATCACGTCATAATATTCAGATTTAAATAATTTGGCATAATATATGAATGAACTAAATAATAATTTTCCTATTCTTGACTTAATAATATTTAAATGATATCAAATATCATCAAAATGTACATCTATATAGCTCTGTGTAATATAAATAAAGGCAGCAACTGGGAAATTGTTGCAAAGCGTGTTGAGATAGGAACAGGATAGATATATTTCACTTCGTGCTGCAATCAAGCACATCGCTGAGTAAAAGTTCTCATTTTAAAATCCACATTTCCCAAATAGTGACAGCATTTGGAAAGCATGATTGGTATATATATGATGGTAAAATGTTTATTATTTGCGTCCAGTTATTTAGGAATCGACGAAGTTTTCTTACATAAAATTCTTTTTCTTACATAAGATTCTTTTTCTGATTAATATTCCACCACTTTGGTATGTTACAAAATAAATCACAATCTAGTGATTTAGAAGAAGTGAAAAAGTCAATCAGGATTGAGATAAAGTTTATGCAGAAATAGAAATTAATTTTGTAATTATTTTCAATATATATAGTATTTTACGATTATGAGGTTTCGCATCTTTTTCTCCACTTTCCTGCTTTTCTACGTCTTTCTCGTGGCTAAAGCGCGCGATGAGAAATCTACCAGACCTCCGAACACAATTATATTCTTTGCTGATGATTTGGGGTATGGTGATTTAAATTTATATGGAAACACGGAGCAAGAATCTGGCGCTATTGAACAAATGGCACAAGAAGGAATGATGTTCACTCAATGGACTTCTGCGGCATTTATTTGTACCCCTAGCAGGGCATCGTTGCTAACAGGTATTTATGTATACAGTACTATTTTTCAATGCAACGTACATGCTTTAAGGAAACAAGTTTTGGTGTTTTTTGTGATGATCGTTGGGCGGTAAGTGGCCCCAGTGACATCAATTGCACACTTACTGACCCTGTTAATGTTTCGTGAAAATCCGCCAAAATATGGTGATCCGAAACCAAAAATATTTTTTTGACGATTTCACAGCATAAAATAACCCTACACTTTAATGAGCTCATCTTCATTCTACCCTGTGTGACCGACCGCCTCCCAAAACATTGATATATATTAGTAAACAACACATTTTTCAGGTCGTTACGCAAGAAGGACTGGTGTTTATGGAAATTCTTCTCTTGTGTTTGCTCCAAAGGATAGTGGTGGACTTCCAGATTCGGAAAGAACCATTGCTGAAGCGTTAAAATATCAAGGGTATGCCACAGGAATGGTGGGAAAATGGCATTTAGGTAACCTAATAAACTAACTAACTATGAATTACAATTCTGGTATTTTCGGGCGAAGGCAATCGCGACTCTGGGGAAGAAGATTCTCAGTCAATATCGTCCTATACTGTGAGAACCGAGTATGCCAAAAAATCTTACCAAGATTAATTGATTAACATAGTATAATAAATTACTAGTACATTCTTCAAGTGCAGGCAATTGAATAAAGTTATCACATAGGTATTGATGAAACATTAAGTCAAGCTTGGACTTTATCTCCTAAAGACATATTCAATTATAGTATTAAATATTTTTTAAGTTGTTATGTTAATGCTATACACATAATAATTCTATTTAAAGGACTTAATAAAGAAAGCAATACTGACGGAGTTCATCTTCCGCATAATCATGGATTCGATTTCGTTGGAACAAATCTGCCTTTGGGTCAATCAGGAAATTGTAACATTAACAACGTACGTCACTAATAAAAGAATATCAACATTTCTAAGACAGATATGAATAATTGCAAAGTGTAGCCTACACTGGAACTTAAGTGAATGGAACAAATAATAATTTACGGCAGGGGTTCTCGGATTTTATTCTACCATAGGCGACATCTAAATATTATATTGTACCCATTCTACTGTGTAAGTAAACTGTCTCCAGCGTGACATAAGTGAACTATGAAAGAAGGACAGGGGACAGTCTCGCCCAACAATGTTACAATGTCCTATCTGATCCATCGCAACATTTGGTCATATACTTGCTGGCAAAATTTACCTCTTCAGCCGTTGCTGGAGGGTTTTAGTTGGGAACTGATTTATGGAGATGAATCGGTCAGACCTCTTTGATAAATGACAATCAGTCCTTTCGTATTTTTTTAAATGGTAATATAACGATATCAGTCTATATTTTATCATTGTATTTAATTATCAAACAATAATTTAAATTCAGGCGGCCGACGACATGGTGAAGTCATGCTTTGTTTATTCTGGAGATACTGTAGTTGAGCAACCTATAAATTTACCGGATCTAACTCAGAAACTTGTCGATGATGCTGTTGAATTTATTGATGCCAATAAAGACAAACCGTTTTTCTTGTATTTTGCTTTTCCACAAGTTCATATGGATTATTTCTGCAACAGTCAATTCTGTGGCAAATCGAGTCGAGGTATGACTTTATTGATTTATGTGATTTATATATTCATGGTTTTGCAAACAAAACGTTTGACACCAGAAAAAAAACGATGTAATTATTCAACTTCAACAGGGGAAAATTAGCTTAGACATTGCCATTCACTTTGGTTCTGTCCGTTATTTTTCATTCTTCGATTGTAACCTTAACTTTTCAATTTCATTATCGTCAAGATTTCTCTCTTTGCGCCCAGTTTTACTGTCATTAATTTTCGAAATTCAGGAGAATACGGTGACAACATTAATGAAATGTCATGGGCAGTTGGAGAAGTCTTGAACAAAATTAAAACCCTGGGAATTGAACAGGACACAATTGCAATTTTCACCTCTGACCACGGGGCACTACCACCGCTTTGTCGAACAACCACATCGAATGGTATTTTTCGTAGCGGCAAGGGAACCACTTGGGAAGGAGGATATCGCGTTCCTGCTGTATTATGGTGGCCTGGAACTATTGAACCCGGAACAACCAGCAATAATCTTGTGAATCACATGGATATCTTCACAACTATAATCAATCTTGCAGGCGAGTCAATTTCTATTAAATGAATCCTACATTTCTTAAGCCAAATCCAATTATCGAAATGTTACACATCTCTTAAAATACATTAACAGGTGGAAGCAACTACTTGGTACATTTGCAAAACACTGGTACTGTATTGGATGGGCAATTAATAACAGAATTGGTCCCTGAATCTCCAGTCCGTGATACTTTGTTTTACTACTGTTCCGACCGACTTATGGGAGTCCGCCATGGAAACTACAAACTGCATTACCACACTATGGGCGATTTGCGTGAGTACAATATGCAAACGTCAACTTTGCCTCGATTTAAGAGCAAATAGACCAATTCTGATTGAAGTTTTGAGCTAAGAAACAAGTTACGTGTCTCGTTTTTAAATCGTTAAATATTATCTACCATAAAACTTTGTACATGTGTAATAACTCAAACTCAAAAATCTTGGAATGCGAGTTCCAAATCTTAAAATGAATACACGTTACAGCAATACCATCGGGATGTGGTTCAACACAGGGAGATTTTGCTTGCTATGATGGTGCCGATATTTATGAATGGAATCCTCCTCTCGTTTTTGATTTTACGAAACTACCTGGTGAGCGAGAAAAGAGCAGAGAAGACCCCACCGATCCAAATACAATAGAAGTTGTAAACCAAATTGCTCAACTTGTTGCTGAACACGAAGTCACTTTCACCAGTATTTCTCAACCAGAGTTAGATAAATCTGGGCATAAATCCTTGATTCCTTGCTGTGATCCTTCTGCAGGGTGTGTTTGCAATTATAATTACTAATTCAGCCTAATTGCTAATTAAGTTCCCATTCCGTTGCTTAATTATGATAGCGGATGCAAATTAAAATATGCTGACTCTTAATTGCCTACGGATTTATGACAGGTGCAGGAAGAATAATATACTCAGGTTGTGTACCGGTGATATTGTTTTTAGGAGATGACTGCTGCTATTGTAAGCAGAGTTGGTCATTAGATCGTTTGATATACAAACAAAAACCAGCTGGCAAAAAAATTATATGTAATGTTGAATTTAGAGAACTCTTTCGTATATCACTGTCCTATTTGAAATTTATTAGAGCCCAACTAGAAAATGCTCGACGGCCCATGATTGAGGCGCGGTCCACAGTTTGTCGACCATTACCGTGTTTCCCCGAATAAACGTGGTCTTATTTCAATTTTCTTTCAAAAAATAACACTAGGGCTTATTTTGGGGGATGTCTTTCATTATCATTCATCAAAAAAAAAATTACAAAGTGGAAAGTTACGAGATTCTCAAATATACAAAAAATGAAAACCGTTATCCATTTAGCCTGACACGTTCTTATTGAAAAAAAAAACTGCTAAAGATAGGATATTCATAATTGGATTAGGGCTTATATTGAAATCATTTTCAAAATTCAGAATAGGTCTTATTTTTGGGGAAACACGGTAGCATAAATTCGCCTCACGCGAAAAGTTTAAATTTTAAAATTTGCTATCCGATTGGTATCCCGTGGAACGTATCAATATTTCTGTTTATATATATATATTCTTATATTATACAAAGATAAACATAATTATCACTACATTAATATGTAGGACACATTTCGTTGTATTCTACTTACGTACACCAATGCAACGTTTTTTGTGCGTATATCCACTTTATCCATTCAGTGTTGGAGATGGGGAAAATCAATCGATACCTGTGCTGTATCGTACAAGAACGGTGGTGTTATCTTACGGTCAATGAAGCTGAAGTGATTAAGTATTAACTCGAAACTAACGAACCTTACAGAATATGAAATTTTCTCTGTAACATTTCACGATATGGAATTAGCAACAGGGCGATTGGACTATTTTTCTGACATCAAAAGCATTCTGAATTTCTGAAAGTTTATCACTTATGATGCAGAAATATGCAAGCTGTGTAATATGTGGTAATCACATTGTAATAGAAAATGTAATGATTGAGTAAAAATGAAAAGATTATTATTGAATAAGTAGATTATTTGGGCAGTTTTCATCAGCAGAACAACAGAACAGTACCACAAACCTCAATTTGTGGCGGAAACGCCACAAAATGCGAATACCATGAATAAAGCCCACAGAACAACAACATAATAATAATTAACGAAACGATCCATAGGCTCATTTCGTGTTCAATTACAATTCAATTTTATTCAGATCTTTCGTCTACAACACAGAACACGAATAGGATAGGATTTACATGTTTACCCCGGGGGAGAGAAAAGCCGATAAGACGGCTTAATCCTATGGCGAACCACGGCCTCTCGTCCGGTTACCAGTCCAGGTCAGGTATGGGATTAGTTAGCCAGTTATCGTTTTCGGAAGCAGGGACTTGATGGTGGAGGAAGCCGTAACCGACCAGCGGTTACGTGAACCACCTTACGGCGGCGAGGAGTCCAGTAATTCTCTCGCACATGATCACCCCCGCATGGGATTCGAACCTGCGATCCCACGAAGGGTAATCAGAGATGCGGTGGCGAGCGTATTCCTAACGCTTAGCACGAAAAAAAACACAGACAATGACGACGAGAGATCGGGAAAATGGTCAAAACATAGGGAAGATTTATAGTAATTAGCTGCTGTTTTTTCAGTAAACAAACAAAGCTAAAAGGTAAACAGCAAACAGAAAAACTCGAAAACTAGTTTCAGGCGTTGCTCTTTGTGTAACTTAATGTCATTGGTTACATACCGGTACACATATTTTATGATCTCCATTGCCCACTCGTGGGCAATATGAAATGCATTGTAGGCCATTGAGCGACCTAGAGGTGGGGTATTTCGCAATTTCTTCGGGAGAGGTTATCAAAAACTGCTGATGTCATACAGGTGTACAAACGGAAGCTCTTGCAATCATACAGTTATCCTTATCTTGCTTCACGACGTTTTTGCTCATGACTGTAGAATAGCTGAGCGGGCAGGTATTTCAGCCAAGCATGCCTCAATGACTGAAGGAAAGTGAGTTGTATCAAATGACTTTTTTTTAAGATAAGATTTCATTTCGATTCATTCGCCAAAACAAAATAAACATATACTGGTAAGCTATACACAAAAGATTAAGGCGATGCAGCATGTAAACAAACAATTCGAAAAATCCTAGAATGAGGTGCGAATGCATGTTTCTGTTTCATGCTCAAAAATATAACGTTATCTAGTAAAATCTACTAAAACGTTAACAAACCAATGTAAAAATCGATTGTGAATTTTCAAATATCAGTTCGTGCAGTTTAATTACCGTAACTTTTGTATATCCGGTCACATATTTGAGCAGAGTTTAATTTTGTCCGAACTTATTTTCACAATACCGGTATCTTTGAAAATCTTCTATTTTGCGCCCATGTTGCACATTTCCAGTCCATCTGTCAAAAATCTTCTCAGTCGCTTTAATCTTTTTTGTATATATATTTATTTTGTTTTTGCGAATGAATCGAAATAAAATCTTATCTTCCAGTCCATCAGTCAAATTTATACAGTTTTCCGAGACATATAAAACCAGAAAACTAAAACAATGCACTGACTGACTGCTGAGCTGAGGTAGGCCAGGCCGCCAGGCCTGCGGTACCAGCAGACCGATGTGGCAGTGTGGTAACTCAGTACCCATACTGCTGTATTGGGCCTACGGGCCTAAGCAAATTAGTGGGCCCGCTCTCTTCTCTGCTTCTGCTCTTGAGACAGTGATACCTGGATACGGTATTTCAACTACATTTTGGCTCGGCGATGTGACACATCGTGTTAAGCGTTAGGAATATGTTCGCGACTGCATCTCTGATGGGTTCTAATTCCATGCGCGGTTGATTACGTGCGAGAGGATTGCTGGACTCCTCGCCGCAGTAGGGAGGTTCATGTAACTGCTGGTCGGTTCCTCTCCCCGGCAGCCCGGGATAAATATGTAAATCCTATCCTAACAAATTAGTTTATATAAAACTTTGGAAATAATTTTACATGTTTTGCTCAAATTCAAAGTAGATCAGTAGACTTGCTCTCATTTCTGCTTATTGTAGTCATTTATATTAATCTGACACATTTTGCTATTTAGTACTCAAGCGTATATGTAATTTATTAAAATGGCTCCTGTTCTAAGCAAGTTGGCAGATTATCGTTATTTGCGATTTGCTGCTTATGGAACTGGTTTGGTACTTACTGCACACTTTTTAGGATTATATCGATCTGGAACCAAATCTAAAGATAAAGAAAGTGACATAGTTTTCACAAAATCTGGTAAAAATGGCGCCAGAGAAAAAGCCGCTATAGACATGAATTTCATTCGTAGACTCAAACAGATTCTACGAATTATGGTGCCTGGTTGGTGGTCAAAAGAAACTGGCCTTTTGATTCTAGTTGCTTTGATGTTGATCATGCGCACAAGATTTGATGTGTGGATGATCAAAAATGGGACGTCAATTGAAAGTTCTATTATTGCCAGAGATCGGAGCCGGTTTCTTCGATATCTTTTTAAATATATTTCTATGCAACCAGCGATTGCTCTAACCAATCAAATGCTCAAGTATGGGCTGAATGCACTCAAACTTCATTTCAGAAAGCAGTTCACATTACACATGTACGAGCATTATCTTCAAGGATATACTTATTATAAAATGAGTAATCTTGATAATAGAATTGCCAATCCAGATCAACTATTAACTCAAGATATTGAAAGATTCTGCAATAGTGTTGTCGACTTGTATTCAAATATCAGTAAACCGCTGTTGGACATTCTCATCTACATTTATAGATTGACAGATACCATTGGTGCACAAGGGCCAGCAACAATGATAGCATATCTTGTCGTTTCTGGAATGATTTTAACGAGAATGCGTCAACCTATTGGAAAATTGACTGTGACAGAACAGCAATTGGAAGGAGAATTCAGATACGTCAACTCTCGTTTAATTACCAATAGCGAGGAAATTGCCTTCTATAATGGTAATGAAAAAGAGAAGAATACCATTCTTCTAACGTTCAAAAAGTTGTATGATCATTTACAGAAATTTGTTGGTTTCCGCTTCAGAATGGGAATTGTAGATGATATCATTGCAAAATACACTGCGACAACCTGTGGTTATTTGATAGTGAGTCGTCCATTTATGGATCTAAAGAATGACAGATTTGATAATTATTCTCATTCAGAGCTTTTGGAAGATTATTATACGAGTGGACGTATGTTGGTACGACTCTCACAAGCGATTGGCAGGATAGTACTCGCCGGACGAGAAATGACAAGGTTATCGGGTTTTACTTTGAGAGTCACAGAGCTGATGAAAGTCACAAAAGAATTGAATGAAGGGCATTATGAAAGAACCATGGTCAGCAAAAATGATGAAAAAGATGGGGTAAAATCCAAAAAATCCATGGAATTGGTGCCTGGAAGTGGAAAAATCATCACCAAGGATTACATTATTTGCTTTGACAAAGTCCCACTTGTGACCCCAAATGGAGACGTTTTAATTGAAGAAATGAGTTTTACAGTTCACTCGGGCAAAAATGTATTAGTCTGTGGTCCAAATGGATGTGGAAAGAGTTCTCTTTTCAGAGTTCTCGGTGAATTATGGCCTCTGTTTGGAGGTACGGTCACAAAACCATCTCGAGGAAAGTTATTTTATGTTCCGCAAAGGCCTTACATGACATTGGGTACTTTGCGTGATCAAGTTATCTATCCAGACTCAAAAAAAGAGATGTTGAAAAATGGATTCTCAGATGAGCAGTTGCAAGAAATTTTGCAAAAAGTCCAACTTGAAAATATTCTTGAACGAGAAGGTGGATGGAACTCTGTGCAAGACTGGATGGATGTTCTCAGTGGTGGTGAGAAACAACGTATGGCGATGGCAAGGCTTTTCTACCACAAACCTCAATTTGCTATTTTAGATGAATGTACAAGTGCTGTCAGTGTAGATGTTGAAGGATTCATCTACCAACATTGTCGTGCAGTCGGAATTACTCTTTTCACTGTCTCACATAGAAAATCATTATGGAAGCATCATGAATATTATCTTCATATGGATGGCCGAGGAAAATACGAATTCAAGCCAATTGAAGATAGTACAGTAGAATTTGGATCATAAATGTAGTGACTTAAACTGCCTGTTTCAGAAATGGGTTTCATACCTTTTTCAGTCGCTTTGTTTCAAGATGATTATATATAAGTACGTCCATAATAATTTCAGAATGGTGTAATTGATGTGCGATAATTCTTTTTCATTAGCAAATTATTTATACTCCTTATTCAAATTTGTGTTTGGTTTTTATAAATTCAGCAATGCAACTTTATTTACATAATCATGAATTATATTTGGAAAAACATTAGAATAATCAAGATCAAAATAGGAGACTAAATATTGTCACCATTACTGACAGTCAATACTGTTGACAATAAATACAGTTGACAAGACTAGCGCACTGGCAATATAATGAAGCAATTCTTTCTAATCTTCTTTCTATATGGTCAGCATATTATTATGAGAGAGACTTGATGCATGAATTCAGACTATTTTGTTAATCTTGTGCGAAATTCATACTCCTGTTTTTGAAGACTGAATGATAATTGCTCATCAAATTTGCTCGTTTTTTCAATCAAAGGATTATTCATGATTTATGATATTTAGCTAGACAATCGATATTGACTTTTAGTTTGATAGACACTTCCTGGGACAAGTTCAAATGAATATCGTCAAAATTAATAATACACTATGACATTATAGCAAAGTTATATGTGAAGACTGCAGTGTTCACTTTTCAGAAAGTTTCAATTTAAGAAGTCTTTAATTTTTCAATCCAGATAAGTCTTGCACTAAAAAATTTGTATTTTTTGAATTGTATATATATTATTAAACCTGTTGTTTAAAATTCTTGACTGTTCCGGATGGTTATATGTTTACGTGGCTGGTCGTATTGTAAGTCCTCTTAAAATTATTTTGATTATGATATGTATACTTTCTTGATTTTAGAAATAACAGTTTCTTAGTGAGCAAAGATATTACATTATGTATTTGTCCACTATCTTCGTTTGCATCATTTTTGTTCCCCTGTTTATATGGTGTCATGTACCAATGTTATATGGTTGCACATCGTTTGACGCAGCTTTCCTCACGAGTCTCAGTTCTTACCACTTGATGGCAGCTCCTGCCACAAACGAACCACGGCGTGTCTCGCCATGGTTTTTATGGCGCTATTCAGTAATCAGTATTACCGGTATATTCACAAAGTCATGTACCCGATTTTCGTTTATCATGCAGAATTATATCTACTTAAACCTGAAACCTAACCCCAGACCCATCAAAACTGTATCCATAAGAAAAATGTTCCAACTTACCCAATATTTTTCACCATCAGTGACAGCCGACATGCCTTGTTTACGGCAGCAAAATTTTACTCGCCATTGGTTTTAAATTTGCTGCTGTGGTACCAGCAGCTCGCCATTAGTTTGAGGCAGCTAAAAAGTCAGTCGCCATTGTTTGGCCATAGTGGCCATGTCGCCATGGTTTGCGGCAGCTTCAGACTCCATAAAATACTTGAAACTGTACTTGTCCCTCATACCCAACTTTTAATGTATTAATAGCACGTAACTGGTTAGCTATTTTTCAATCTTATCGACTTTACTCCTCCCTCAAAATTATTTATTGTGATTATTAAATTTACAGGGATATATATCGAGGAAAATTCCTTTATTATAATTGCAGTAATCATAGGTAAGAAGATAATAACACCATAAGTAAGCCAACCAATCGTGTTACAGTGTTTTATTTTAAGATATTCAGACTAATTATATATCTGGACCATATTTTTACTTATAATGTTGTTTTCTGAATATCACCAATACGAGTTCAATATTTTCATTAATATAAAGCTTATAAGTACAAACATCTTCTGCTTTTCAAAAAGTAATCTATTGTTTGTTTTTTGTTCTTATTATTTTGTAATTCTAAGCTAATAGGAATAGCATCTGTTTGCTAGAATTTCATTAAAATCTGGTACTGATGGAAATAGCCCAAAGCTCCCCAAGTAAGAAGTCATCTGACTGATTACATATTATTCCCTATCAAGCGGGACTAAGCGTATGCACATTAAAATATGATTATAAGATTTTCAGTCTATCATACAATTTTTTTTTGTTTAATTACTGAATATTGTTTTGAATGATTATTACTGTTTATTCTTAATTTTCTGCTTTGTGCAATGAATAAAGCTGAATTTGACATGTTGCTTTTATACTTGAAGACCGAGTAGATTTCAGACTTTTAAGCTGCTTCCGCGTAGCTTTTTTACTCTGCACATTGTAAAGCCATCACCAAAAAAATAATAAAATGCAATAAAAAAGGAAAGTGTAACTTTATGGTAATTGTTAATTTCATAAGCTTCCACATCACACTTTTCGATCACCGCTGCAATGTACCGCTTTCAAGACCACGAGACAATCACGACGCCATTACAAATTCAGCACGCATTTCAAATTATTCATCGCAAATTTGTGATCAATCAGTAATCATTTATGTTGGTCCTCCTATATACAGCATAGCAAGAACAAACGAAATACGGAATTATCGGAAAGCCGAGAATATCATAGGACAGGGGTGGGCGAGCCCATTTATTCGGCACGCGAGCGAGGCCTCAGAAACGAGATCATTCTCTTTCAGATAAAAAGTTTCGAGACTCTAAATTATGTGATAAACTCGGTGTTCGTTTATTCATTATCGTTTCTTAACAATCCGTTATTCATTCGAACTCGTTTTGTCTTTTCATGACATATGGCTAGAAAGAAATATATTATGACGTAACAACTGAGTGAGCTCTCGACGAATTTTGTCGAGAAGAACACTCCTTTCATTTGGCTACATTGTTACGTATCCTACATCGTCTGTGCCACACTTTTTCTTTATTTCTGATTGATTTATGAAGTTGTACAGCTTATGTTGGTTAGAGTTACTTGCTAACTTACTGTTATAAATTGATTTCGAAAGAAGTATAAGCGATTAGGGAAGGGAATACAAGAGAGAAGCGCAGGAAACGAAATATTGCGTGATTTGGATGCCATTCCCGAGATTTTTTCATGTCTTAAAAACTTTGCAACTACATTACTCTCCATGTTTTCATCTACATATGCTTGTAAATCTCTGTTCTCAGTTATGACCAGCGCCGGATAAACCATTAATAAACGATATAAGCACGTGCTTAGGGCACCAAGCAAAGAGGGGCACCACAGAAATCTTAAAGCAAAATTTTATATAGTTTATCGATGTTCATTAAAATATTGCGAGTTCACCAGACGACTCAAACTTCAAAATATCCGCTCATTTTTCGTCCTAAAGTATCATATTAACCTTCTTTATTAAAAATAAACACTAACTTTTTTTTGGACACGAAATGGCCTATGAGTCGTTTTCTTAATGTGTTGTTGTTTTTTCTTTCTAGTATTCTCCTTGTTGCTGCATTTTTGTTTTAAAAAAATTTCATTTCTCTTCAACAATTGGACCAATGAACTATTTACACTATGTGGCGGTTCCACGATCGCATTTCAACGATCTAGTGATCAGCGAAGTCGGGAGTATTTTGATAAGATAGACCAGGGTGGTCCAAACGCTGTCACGCTGATACCTTCCGTGCGGCTCACCCCTCACCTAACAACTTTAGCGTATATTTGTATCTAATGGGGGAAAGGTTTTTGTTTTAAGCGTCGGCCATGTGACAGTAGTGACGAAACGCAGAGCCGACTTAACGCCGCGCAATCCAGTTTGTTTTTAGCTAGGTCCCGAAATACCAACTTAGAGTCTTAGACGGACTTGGTTGGTATTTGACAATGGCACTAAGCTTGCTCACGCTGCAAGTGTTTAAATTACTCAATATAACAATTCGTAATAAAATGTGTGTCCCAAGAAAGGTGATATATATATAGGAAAAACAAGGGAAACGTATTCCCTTGCCCATCACACAGTGTCTGGTTTGATTTCAAGTAATATCTGTCACGAAAGAAAATAATTTGAAGCCATATTAAACGCGAGATGCGCAAAATACAACGGTAATTCTCGGGAATTAACTTTGAAATAACTGAAGGCTTTATATATCTTCTTTAATTAAAAGAACGCCATCCATGCAACGTAATAATAGTCTGATTAGAACGTTAAACTCTCGTTGTTTAATAAACTTAAAGTAAGTAAACTCGCGATATTTCGATCACTTTTGGATTTTCTCCGACTTGCGGCCCGCGAGACCTCCTCAAAAGTTTTTGCGTTCCTTCAACCTAACAACCTTGAACCACCCTGAGGTAGACTACTCGGTATCGTTAAAAAATTCCAAACTACAGTTGTGACTTGTATCCTTTGGTATTTCGATTGACGTATTTTGATTGACGATTCGATTCACGTTGAGACTGGAGGCATGAATCTTTATTGTCACACTTCCTCAGGATTAGAGCTCAACCGATTTATCGTCCCGATATTGCGTGTTTGCCGATATATCATATCGGCAGTAAACGGCCGATTTATATATAGGCTATATATAACAGTTAAAAAACCTAAAAATATTCGTGAAATTTTTATTTACTGTTGGGTGTGATAATTTTAATGGATAATACACTTATGTGGTTTATTGTTTTTATAATTAAATTGAGGGGGCACCAAAATCTTCAGTGATTAGGGGCACCAAAGGGGCTTAATCCGCCCCTGGTTATGACCTTTATTAGGTCTCCTAACAGGAGTAGCCTGAAAGATGAAACCAGTAGTTCGTGTATTTCTTTGAAACTTAAAAAATATAAACCCAGTGTAAAATCTCTATCAGCGGTAATGCAGCAGCAGAAGTCTCACGGATATATAATAAGAAAGTAGTCAAATCTATTTGTCGGACTGATATTTTCCCGAATAGTGAATCTTTTTTGCTTTGAAAGTAGCAAAGCATTGTTTTTAATTTCTGTCGGCACGCAGAAGAATTTTGTGGTCAAATTTAGCCGATTTTGGCACGCGAGACTTAAAAAGGTTGCCCACCCCTGTCATAGGACAAAGTTTTTTTGAAAATAATAATGAATTAACACGTATACCCATCGCTCACAGAATATTTTCCCTCGTGAACCTTTCATCAACGATCAATTTGTCCCAAGGGCTTTTGCGTCGGCCCTATAATTTGGTTTAAATTATCATCTAGTTAAATTCGGCATTTTTGAGTGGAAGTATGTCACGACATTAATGTTATGTCAATAGAGTAATATGTATCAATAGTGCGTTTTGAAATTATTTATTGATTACATGTACTTTCTTGTATAAATGAATTGAGCCTGTTTTTTTTTTTCAATCCAATCCTTACTATGGTTAATTTCAGACAGAATTAATTTCTGTAACGGAAATGTTTGATTTGGTTCCATTAGCAACAAAAACCCCTAATTCATCCCAATTGGAATTAAAATTATGAAAACGAAGTTAAATTCTCCAAATTTCTCATCATGAGTTTCGTAAGAAACTTATTATATATATATTTATGATAGATCTTTTGTACAAAGCTCCCGCCACAAATGCAAAAATGTGAGATTTCAGAAAAACGGCTCCGCCACGTTTTTAGTAATTATCCAGTTGAGGTTAGGTCGTTAGGAATCACTTGCAAATTCGTGACGTGAGCCACGAGATCACGCTTTCAATATTATTTTGCTGTTCGATTAACGTATTACATACTGCTCAATATCTTTTTAATGTAGATATGGAATCTTGAGAAGTTTCAGAATTGTATTGCGTATATCGTTAGAAACTACAGATAAAATTAAATAGAGCGGACTAGGAACGTTGGCAAGAGTCGGTTAACAAATTCGTCAACAAAATCTCGCCACTCAAATATATATACTCGCTAGACCATTTGTTCAATTTCTTGCACGTGGAATCGTCCATATTCATTTAATCCAGGGTTGTCCAACCTTTTTGGCCCAAGGGCCACATTCAGTTTACGGATGATTGCGCGGGCCACTTGACATGGTCGTTATGTTCTAGTTTTCACTGCACCGACTACAGATTAATAATAAAAAAACTCACACCAAAATTATAAGAACAATGAAAATACAAAAAAACAGTTAAGTGAAAAGTTTTTACCACACATAGATATTTCAATGTCAAGTATGACACCGCGTTTATCCAATAAGTTTGTTAATATTCGGTCCGATGGGCGATGTAGCAATGCAGAGCGAATTTTTCACCTGATCGTCATAAATTAGTGATCTCACGCGGGATATTTGACATTATTCATCCGCGAAAAAACTTGCTCTTACAAGTAGCCTAAGTGCTGTCAAATATTGAGGTCATAAAAACTGCCTCTTCTAGCTTCACAGAAAAAAGACAGGAAAACAGATTGAAATACATGGCAAACTATGAAATTAAATTCAAACACCTCTCTCCAGCAATAACGCTCACAAAGGGACATAAAAAGCTTTCGATAGCTGCGTGGTGCTTCTTGGGCGTTTGAACGACGAGGAATAATTTTTTATTAGAGGTTTCAATAAGTCCCAGATTTGTGAAAGACATTGGGATTCGAATAATACCGCGCGGGCCACTCGAAAATCTTCGGCGGGTCATGTGACCCGCGGGCCACGGGTTGGACGACCCTGATTTAATCATTCCAAGAAAGATAACACTATCACTACTGATAGTTCCACGCGTTTTAATCGCGCTTTAAATTTCCGGGCGACCATGTATTTACGAAGCCTAACCAAGGTGACATCGCACATTTCGTATAGTTTACATATAGTCTTGGTACGATTTCCTTGTCTCTGTCTTATTATAACGAATTGTTGAACGTTCCAGTAACGTGACAAAGAACATGTGTACAAACCGTCAACGGAATATAACCCTTTTTTATTGTTGGATTACATCGGAATTTATCATGAGGTCATCTAAGTTTGTATTTACAATAATCTTTATTGTGTATTTGCGTCATAGCCTGTTGTTTTTCACGCGGGACTGGCTTTGGGACTAGGATGCAATATACACGTGATTCACCCATTGTGTTTTGGAATGTCTCGCATTTGACTTTGTTTTACTGACGCTTTGCCGTAGATAAAGTGTATTGTCTTTATGGCTCGGCGGTGTGGCGCATCGTGCTAAGTGTTAGGAATACGCTCGCCACCGCATCTCTGATTACCCTTCGTGGGATCGGAGGTTCGAATCCCATGCGGAGATGATCATGTGCGAGAGGATTGCTGGACTCCTCGCCGCCGTAGGGTGGTTGGTTCACGTAACCGCTGGTCGGTTACGGCTTCCTCCACCATCAAGTCCATGCTTCCGAAAACAAATAACTGGCTAACTAGTCCCATACCTGACCTGGACTGGTAACCGGACGAGAGGCCCCGGTTC